CTTAAACTCTCCAGAGTATGAGCAGCTTGAGCGTGGACGTATTTATGTGAAGTCTTCCAAGTGCTACTGGCTCCCTGCCCCTGCATCTTCAGCCCTTGAAAAAAAATCCCTGCTTGTCGGTAAATTTCGCATTTTCAGTGCCAATTTTACTCCTCTTTCCCTCAAGGCCCTATAAACAGAAGGGCAACATCTTTCTATTGGATGGAGGCTTATTTGCATATTTCCATGATTACTCTGAGATGTGTCTGAGGCCAGGGCTTATGCCGAGCCAGCACTGGAGCACAGTGGGTTAAGCCACCGTCCAGAGTGTCGGCATCCCATTTGGGCACTGATTTGAGTCCCAGCTGCTCCACTTCTGATCCAGCTCCCCTGCTGATGGTCTGAGAAAGTAGTGGAGGATGGCCCAAGTCCTTGGACCCCTGAACCCACGTGGGAAACCTGGAAGCAACTCTTGGCTCCCAGCTTTGGCCTGGCCCAGTCCTAGCCATTTCAGCCATTTGGGTAGTGAACCAGTGGAAGGAAGACCTCTCTCTCTCTGTCTCTCTCTCTGTCTCTCTCTCTCTCTCCTCTTCTCTTTCTGTAACTCTGACTTTCAAATAAATAAATAAAATCTTAAAAAAAGAGGGGGAGGGGCCAGTGCTGTGGCATAGTGGGTAAAACCGTCACCTGCAGTGCTGACAGCCCATATGGACACTGCTCCACTTTCAATCCAGCTCTCTGCTATAGCCTGGGAAAGCAGTAGAGGATGGCCCAAGTCCTTGGGCCCCTGCACCTGTGTGGGAGACCAGGAAGAAGCTCCTGGCTTTGGATTGGCCCAGCTGCAGCCATTGAGGCCAACTGGGGAGTGAACCAGCAGATGGAAGATGTCTCTCTCTCTCTCTCTCTCTCTCTCTCTGCTTCTCCTCTCTCTGTGTAACTCTGACTTTCAAATAAATAATAAAATCTTTTAAAAATTTTTTAAAATAAAAATGCAATTAAATTAACCCAATATCCAAAATATCCTCCAGCTATAATCAATGTAATTGATTTTATCTCTAACAGATTGGTGTGGAGCCTTCCTGCTGGGGATGCAGACAATGCAACTATGGAGGATTCCTCCAGGCAATTGGCTCCTTGCAGTATGGATAATCTCCACCAGGGGGCCTTCTGGTGAGGGTTGCGTAATCCCAGATTGTGCTCAATCACAATGTTTTAACAAAATACTGGAATCAGAACTTTCCAGTAGAGAAATACAAGGTGAATTTTGGAATCACAATATTTATGAGTACAAAATAAAAATATGCTTCTCTCTCTCTCTCTCTCTCTCACACACACACACACAGGCTGTTGATCTGTATAACCTCTGAGCCTGGCTGTCCTCTGAGAAATGTTAGCCCTGGCTTTGGCCTGGCAGTCAGCTGAGCTGGCCCAGGCTCCTAGTCAGCTGTAGAGCAAGTGCATCTTCTTCCACTTTCACTAGCTTCCTATTTAGTCATCTGAACACCTGTTGTGTTCTGCTTCTTCCCTCAAAGTATTGAGAGCACGATGGGAAAAGCATCTCACTTCAGTTCAGGGAGCCCAGACTGCAAATGAGCACTCCCCTTCCACTCTGGAAAGTTCTCTGCTTATGCCATGTTCAAACTGCGGAGAGAGGTAGAGACAGAGAGAGGTCTTCCATCCGCTGGTTCATACCCCATATGGCCACAACGGCTAGGAGCTGCACCGATCTGAAGCCAGGAGTCAGGAGCTTCCTCCAGGTCTCCCATGTGGGTGCAGGGGCCCAAGGACTTGGGCCATCTTCTAATGCTTTCCCGGGCCATAGCAGAGAGCTGGATCAGAAGAGGAACAGCTGGGACTAGAACCAGTGCCCATATGGGATGCCGGCACTTCAGGCCAGGGCTTTAACCCACTGCACCACAGCACCAGCCCTGCCAGTTGGCTCATTGCTGGAGCCCACTGCATGTGGTCTGATGGCTTGGTTCCATCTTCCTGCTGTCTTCCTGCTGTTTCCATTCTTTCTCCTATTTATTGTGTTGTTGCAGACTTGCTGATACACCACACGAAGCCATTTTGGGAATGTGGTGGTGGGTATAAATAGATAGGAGGGGGATATTTGAAAAGTTCATGGAAAATGCATATTATGAAAAAGCTAAGCACAGATTTCAATTTTTTTGCACTGAAATAAACTCATCTTTTTAATTCTATGCTCCATAAGCTTTTTGAAGTGTCCTCAGATAAGTCTCCTCAGTTTGTTCTAGGAATTGAATATTTTAGATATTGACCCAGCTACTAAGTGAAAGTACTCCTTCTAACAGAAGTCACCTGGAGTACACGCTAAGCAGGGCATCTCACACAGTAGACATGGGTAAGCCACACTGTGTTAGCTCTGCTCCAGGAAGGAAGGGACTGTCTCTCCCACAGGACTTGACACACAGTAGGACAACAGATACTGGTCAAATTGTATAATTAAGTATTCAAGGTTTTAGGATCCTCAGAAATAATGAGTTTAGTGTATTCATTTGAATTGCAAAGAATTGCTTACTTTTTTTTTTAAAGATTTATTTACTTATTTGAAAGTCAGAGTTACAGAGAGAGAGGAGAGGCAGAGAGAGAGAGAGAGGTCTTCCATCCGCAGGTTCACTCCCCAGTTGGCTGCAATGGCTGAAGCTGCATTGATCCAAAGCCAGGAGCCAGGAGCTTTCTCTAGGTCTTCCCATGTGGGTCCAGGGGCCCAAGGACTTGGGCCATCTTCTACTGCTTTCCCAGGCCATAGCAGACAATTGGATCAGAAGTGGAGCAGCTGGGTCTCAAACCAGCTCCCATATGGGATGCTGGTGCTTCAGGCCAGGACATTAACCTGCTGTGCCACAGTGGCAGCTTACTTTAAAGAAACAAAATTACTTGTACTTAAGTACTTAGGAACACTGTATAGCTAAATGGGATATGCTTACTTAGAATAATTTTTAAAAAATCATTTGAGAAAGAAAGAACAAACCCCCATCCACTAGCCCACCTCCCAAGTGCCTGCTAAGGGCCAGGAACTCAATCCAGGTTTCCCACATCAGGGGGCAAGGACCCGACTACTGGGAGCCATCAGTGCTGCCCCCTAGGGTCCACAGGAGCAGGACGCTGGACCCAAGAGCCAGAGCCAGAAATTGAATTCAGGACTCTAACAAGACACAGGCCCCTCAACTGGCATCCTAACTACCACGGAGCTGAATGCCTGCCCCAGCATGCCCATTGTAGAAATCAAACTGTGACTCAGTCTACCTGAACTGACACAGTGGGGTTACTGTGACACCGGATGAATTTGGTCACTTTATCTGGGGAGGTCAGTGATTGGAGCTCTTCAGTTTAGTATTTCCAGTGACATCATAACCATTGGCATAGCGTTTGTATTCTAATTATGGTTTCTTTTATACTCGTAAAAGAGTCTTTGGTGCCCAGGCTCCTCACTTGGAATTCGTAAGTGCTCTTGAAAACATTTCACTTCCTTAGAGCTTTGCATCACTTCTCTTGCAGGTGTGTGAGCACAAGTGGTCGGCCGCTTTAGTCTTCCTGTTGGCGTCTTCCCCTCTCTGCTTCAGCCCTGCTCAGTGTAACAGAGCCTCTGTACTGTGGCGGGGCCCGGGGCAGGGCTTAGTGCTGCGGAGTGGGGGTGCTGAGAGCAAACATGCACTCCATGTCCTTTGGGGGTGCTTTCTCATCTGAGCTATCGGGCAACTCTGTATTGCTAAGGTGCAGGGATGGGGATTTGGTGGGGAGAGGGGAACACAGTACAGCAAGGAAGCTATCAAAGCTGGAGCCGTAAGGGGCACTGGTAGAAGCCCTGCTTGCTCTTGCAGGCTGCATGGCACAATTGAGCTCGGAGCCTTGGCCACCAGGGCAGGATGCCACAGGTCCTGTGATTAGACTATTAGCTACAGGAAAGAATGAGTCATAGCCACGTGTGAACCCATCCCTTCTTCCAGACAGAGGCATCCTTAACCTAGGAGAGAGCAGTCAGCCAGCCTTCCAGTCAACCCTGGGACTCGCATGGCCTCAGGTGGGGACCCACCCAAGCCCAACTCATCAACATCTAGAAGTTTCTTTTACTCCCAATTCCCTGCCCAACCTGTGTCACCCAAGGCCATCCTAAACCTGCGTAGAAAGGCAGGCAAGGCTGCCAGGACCCAGGAGTGTGCAGTCAGCCGAGCCTGCACTTCCGCACCTTGTGGCAAGCTGGATAAGCACCGTCAAGAGTGTGAGGGCAAAATCCCAGCCCACAGCGGATTCAGTCTGCAGCTAGTGAGGACAGAGTAATACCCGTGGTTCACCCACACAGATCAGCCTCTTCTCTCCATCCACTGCCTCATTCCCCAAATGTTCCTGCAAGCCAGGAACTCCATCCAGGTCTCCCACCCGGGCAGCCAGGATCCAAGTGGCCATCACCTGCTGCCTCCCAGGCTGTGCAGCAGCCCGAGGCTGGGATGTAGAGCCAAGAACTGAACTCAGGATACTGGATGCGGGTCACCAGGCAATGTTGTCCAAATGCTTCTCCCATCTTTAAAACCCTTCATGGCTACTTTCTACTCCTACTTCTCAGGGGTCTTTTATCCTTTGACCTCAAAGGTGATTTTCATTTATTTTTCCTGCTTTTAACATGTCAGTGGTGACCCCAAACCACCTCCCCATATTTTTTTTTTTTTCAAAAAAATTATTTGAAAGTTATAGAGAGAGGTCTTCCATTCCACTGGTTCACTCCCCAAATGGCTGAAATGGCCAGAGCTGAGCTGATCCAAAGCCAGGAGCCAAGAGCTTCTTCTGTGTCTCCCACGTGGGTGCAGGGGCCCAAGCACTTGGGCCATCTTCCACTGCTTTCCCAGGCCATAGCAGAGAGCTGGATCAGAAGTGGAGCAGCCAGGACTCGAACCAGCCCCTATATGGGATGCTGGCACTACAGGTCGGAGCTCTAACACAGTGCACCACAGCTCCAGGCCCCCCACACATTTCAATGGAAATGTCCAAAAGATGCCAGAAAGTTGTTTTCAAAAGTTTATTGAAGTATGAATTTACATTCAGGGGAATTCACCTGAAGTGTGAGACAAATGTAATCACCACCATAACCAAGATATAGAATTGCAGAATAAAGGACCCATTCAAGAAACTCCCTCATGCCCCTTGGCAGTCAATCTTGCCTTCATCTCTCAAACCTGCGGGCCTGTTCTCTGCCCAAAGGATCAAATGTAATCCCTAAAATGATTATGGAACAATTGGTAAGTGTACAAAGTACACAAAACCACATCTCTAAAAGCAAAGAATATAACAAGATGAAGGCAGCCTCATGTTCTACTACACATATACAGGTATTCTGTTCAGTATCCAGGTAGATCTTGGGTAGGATTAAGCTCACCATCGCCATAGGTATGCCCTAACAGTAACTTCTAAGACCATATTGTGAGAGAATCTGTGATTTTTAGAACAGTAAAATGTAAAGCAGAGTAATTTACAATGTTGTCTTAAGATCCAGTTTTAAGATCACCAATCTAGCTATTCCTGTGTTCTAAACTTGACCTCTTGGAAGAACTAGCTTTAGTCATCTTTGCAGAGTATGAGAATCAAGATAAGGACTGGTTAACTATCAGACTGGGGCTGGTTGATAGAAAAACTATTTTAAATAATGGAATTGAATTCTATGAAAATGTGGCCATGCCAGTTTTCACCCCTGCTGTCACCGTGAAAGGGACAAAGAAAGCAGAACTGTGGACATCACTCCTCAGAAGTCTCACCTGTTCTTTCCAGCACCAGACCTGTAAGAGATCACAGCAGGCAATAGGATCAGCAATTACTAAGAAAGGAAAGAGTGGTATTGAGATTATGTTTACAAAAACTGCAGAAAAAACAGAATCCCAATGTCCCACCCACTGCTGGCTCAGCTGTGTTTGTGGATAGAAGACCTTCAAGTGTCTGGGTCTCTTATCCAAAATCTCATCTTTCTCTTGGTCTAGTGAAGTATTTTTAAAGGCTTCTCTCCCCTACCCTCTCCCCCACCAGCCCCGAGTATGGGGAGCATGGGGAGCCCGGACACATTTAGCACATTGGAGCCGCGTGACCTTGGCCTCAGGTAAATCCTTTAACCCATCAGCGCAGAAGTATTCAATCAGGTTAGAGTTCTCATCCTTGGCCAAGAGTTCGATTTCACTATTAACGCCAGGCCAGCCAAGTTCTCCCCCTTTGGTCCCTACCTTATGTGCATCAGCCTCTCGAACTCCGAACTCCGTTGAACCTAGTAAGAAAGGGACAAGTGTCTGCTTGAGAACATCATGCACAGCTTTGTGTGTCCCTGGTCTTTACCAGAGACATCTACTAGCTACCTCTGATGAACAGATAAAGTGGTAAAATGGAATGCAACTGTACAAAGCTATATTCTCCAAGTTTCCAGACACTGAATTACCTTTCTACACTCAGGTGGTCCGTTTTTGTGTCACCTCATGTCTTTGTTGCCATTGGCATGGAATAGTAGCAACATTGTTGGCAACAGTATTTACAAAGGAAGGAAGGGAGGGAGGGAGGGAGGGAGGGAGAAAGAGAGAAAGAGAGAGAGAGAAAGGAAGGAAGGAATCAAGGAAGCCAGAAACTTGTTTACTTGAGAAGTTTCTGTCTGGGCAAGTGCTTGGTTTTCATAGTCCCTGCACACACTGGTTCATGCACGTCTTTGCATGCCTGTCTCATCCGGCTCCACAGGAACCCTAGCACCAGGAGCAGCAGAAAGATCAGGCCTGCCCGTCATTTCGGTTTTGTAGGGCCTAGGGCAGTGCACTGGGCCCCCACATGGGCCCCTTCCTTGAAAGCACTGTAAAAATCCACATCCCTGGGGCCGGCGTTTCTGTATGGGGACTGGTTCAAGCCTCAGCTACTCTACTTCCGGTCCAGCTCTCTGCTAATGCACCTGGGAAAGCAGCAGAAGATGGCCCAAGTGCTTGGGACCCTGCACCCATGTGGGAGACCAGGAAGAAGTTTCTGGCTTTGGATCAGCTCAGTTCTGGCCATTGAACCAGCGAGTGGAAGACCTCTCTCTGTCTCTCCCTCTGTACTGTAATTCTTTCAAATAAATAAAATAAATCTTTTTTTAATTAATTAATTTATTTTTTGACAGGCAGAGTTAGTGAGACAGAGAGAAAGGTCTTCCTTCCGTTTGTTCACCCTCCAAATGGCCGCTACAGCCAGCGCACTGTGCCGATCCGAAGCCAGGAGCCAGGTGCTTCCTCCTGGTTCTCCCATGCGGGTGCAGGGCCCAAGCACTTGGGCCATCCTCCACTGCCTTCCCAGGCCACAGCAGAGAGCTGGACTGGAAGAGGAGCAACCGGGACTAGAACCCAGGGTGCCGGTGCCGCAGGCAGAGGATTAGCCTAGTGAGCCATGCCGCCGGCCATAAAATAAATCTTAAAAAAAAATTTTTTTTTTCAAAAATCCTGTCTCTTTCAGCTTCCTAACCACCAAAGAATTTTCACCAGGAAAACTTGCAACCACAAGCCTCAGCTTTCAACAGTAACAGTAACTTGGAGAATTACTAAGATGATTACTTCTTTCATTCACTCAGATCTAAATGTAGGGGCAATGTCCACACGTGGTCAGGACGCCGGCCAACGTGCAGCCCGGGAGGCGGCAGGTGACAGCTCCAGGCCTTGCCCTCCCCCACCCCCCAACCTGGGAGACTCCGATGGACTTCCAGGCTCCTGGCTTCAGCCTGGACCAGCCCAGGCTGCTGCTGTGAACCAGCGCATAGATCTGCCTCTGTGCTTTTCAAATCAATTTCAAACCCCCCTTTTAAAACATGTAGGTCGTCACCAAAGAAGAGCGCTGGGCCCTGGCTTAGGAATTCTTCCTGGAGACAGTTTCTCCAGGGCAGCCTTGGGTGCTTTCTGGTGGACACAGTGAGGCATCCAATGTCCTCTCCAAGCCAGAAGCCACTGGCTCGGATCCCCTTCCCCTGGGGGCCGCCCGCGCAGCCACGAGGCCCTGGCAGCCGGGAGAGGCTGAGCCAGGCGCGCACCCGGACGCATAAGGGCCCCAGCGCAGCGGTGGCGTCGCCCACCCAGGGGTCCCTCGGCTCCCTCGGTGTCCTAATCTCACCCGCGTCCTAAATGGGCCGTGTCCGGGCCACCAAGTCACCGGGCGGGGGGCTCCGGGGGGCGCCACCACCCAGGACCGTCCCGCGCTCTGCGCCTCCGCCCCGGGTCGGATTCTCTAAGTTGAAACTTTTCTTGCAAAGGGAGCTGGAGGCGGGTGTAGACCGCAGCCGGCGCGGCGCGGCGCAGCGCGGCGGCTTCTTGCTGGTGAGCGCGTGGCTGGGGGTCTTCCTGGAAGGCGCCCCCAGGGTGGTGTTCACCCCCCGACCCCCACGGGCGCCGAGCCGAGGACGAAGCCGGGTCCCAGCAGAGGGCAGGGCTGGAGCCCCGGAAGGGCCGCGGAGAGCCCGAGGCAGCGTGGCGAGCGCAGGCCAGGGCCACTTACCGAGCAGCGCGCTGTGGGCGAAAGGGGCTGGCAGCAGGAAGGCCAAGTTTAAAAGGGGCCGGGCCGACAACTCCCGCGCCCTGCTCCGCCCCGCGCGCCACCTACCGCGCCCGGGGGCCCGCGCGCGCCCCCTGCCGGCCGCAGCCTCCCGCCCCAGGGTGCGGTACCCGGAGCACTCCCGGGGCTTCGTGCTTAGAGCGAGGGCCACGCTCTGCTCCTTCCGTGTGTTGCCGCAGAGCCGCTCTGTGTTATTAAGTCCTGGGTGTCTGGCTTGTGGAATTACAGTCGGCTTGGCCGGATGTCCCGGGCGACCCCACTTCAAGCCACAGAAGTACCCCTGGCCGGACCTGTAGTCCCCAGCCCTACTCTTTATTTAAAAAAAAAAAAAAAAAAAAAACTCGTTTAAACTTTATTTATTTATTTATTTATTTGACAGGCAGAGTGGATAGTGAGAGAGAGAGACAGAGAGAAAGGTCTTCCTTTTGCCGTTAGTTCACCCTCCAATGGCTGCCGCGGCCGGCGCACTGCGGTCTGCGCACCGCGCTGATCCGATGGCAGGAGCCAGGTGCTTCTCCTGGTCTCCCATGGGGTGCAGGGCCCAAGCACTTGGGCCATCCTCCACTGCTTTCCCGGGCCACAGCAGAGATCTGGCCTGGAAGAGGGGCAACCAGGAAAGAATCCAGCGCCCTGACTGGGACTAGAACCCAGTGTGCCGGTGCCGCTAGGTGGAGGATTAGCCTATTGAGCAGCGGCGCCGGCTCCCAGCCCTACTCTTACAGTCATTTTGACCCTTAACCTGTCCCTGGCATTTTGAGATTTGAGACACTCTAGGAAGTGAAGCATCCAAGACCATTTTGGTTGGAGTGCCCACTCGGTGCAACCAATATTTACCAAGTGCCTATTTGGTGTCAGTGTTGGGTACTGTGGTTGGTGCTGGGGGTGTGAGGGTCAATGAGGAATCACCCCATGAGAGTCGCACACACAGAGTGCCAAGGGCACAGCACCACGTCACAGAGCTCAGCCTGCTGAGGAAGGCTTCCTGGAGGAGGGGTGCCTATGCTGAGTCTGGGTTATGAGCAGGAAGCTACAAACCCAGGTGAGGGAAGAGTGGAAGGGGCCAAGGTGGCTAGAGAGAAACCGTAGGTTGCGAGGGTCCAGGGACCTTACTAGGTCACCCAGCACCTGACTGAAGTGGCCTTGGAGCATCCTGCCAAGAACGGAAGCTCCTGCTGCACTACGTCTTGAGGATTCAGGGTGTTGCCCAGAGAGTGTTTGTACAGGAGGAGATGGCCGTGGGGCCATGGGGTTGACCATTCCCCCCTCCCCAGAGTAGCTTGAATGGGGTGCTGGCCAGCTCTTCTCGTGGGTCACCCTGAATGTGAACTTGCCCCGTATGCTCAGTGCCTGGCCAAGGTCTTGGTCCATTGCAAACGCACTGTCGGAGCTGCTGTGTGCGCTTGTTGAGCGTCTGCCTGGCCTGCTGTTGACGCATTCCGTGAAATACTCATGGACGGGGAAGCCCAGGGCCCTGGAAGGCCTGGGCGCATCCCTGCTGCTTTCTCCACTTGATAGAGGCAGGGCTTTCCCCCAAGTGCTGTGCTTCTCTGTGAAGGAACTCCTGCCAGACAACACCAGGCTGCTGGCCCATCCTTTCCCTGTTCTTTCCACAGGAGAAAGGAATTTCAAAGAGGTCTCTGTGTCAGCGTGAATTTTGGAGACGTGTGAACTGACCCAGTCATGGGGGTCCCCATTCTCTGCCCGTTCCCTGATCTCAGTGGGAAGTGGCTGTGCTGCTGGGGGACACAGCGAGCTAAGAGACCCCCTCCCCACCAGAAGTCATTCAGGGTTAACTCTGCTCCTTGTACCATCAAGCAGGCATGGTCGCCTCGCTTCCTCTCCCTTGGGGCTGTTCTGATGGGGCAAGCAGAATGAAAATCACCAGTCCTCGTTAGCCCTGCAGTAGCCTGAACCCGATCTACTCATGGCGCCCACCTGTGTTCCCGCAGGTGCCATCCAGCGGCTCCTCCTTCTCAGTTCCCTTTGTTCTAGAAGAGCAAATCAACTCAAAGGCTGGCAGCTGTGAGGATTCCCCCTCCTTTTCTCCCTTTGCTGCCCTGGCACCAGTGTGCGGTGGTGGTGACCCAAGGTCTAGACTGGATGGGGGTAGGAGGACCTCAGCTCTGAAGACGGAACTGAGCAGTTCTAAAGCTCCTTACTGTTTCACTCTGTAGCTCACCTCTGGAAGGGGGAGAAGGCCCATCGAGTGTCACCCTCCCCAAATCCCACAGTTGCCTGGCCCTTGTCCCCAGGAGGACCTGAGACTCCCACAACCTCAGAACACCAGAAACAGATTGAGAGCGTTTGCTTGCATCAGTTCATCCGCCCAGCCATTTCCTCCTGTGTCTGTGTTTAGTGCACACCTCTTGTGTTGGCAGGGCAGAGTCAGAACGCAAAGCAAGAGCAGACATGACTTGGGATTTGAATGGTCAGCCCAGTTGTGTAGCATTTACACTGAGGGCACTGGACTGTATGCCACCTACAGGTCTCTCTTCCAAGCAGCTGCTGGCTTGGGTTCAAGTTGAGAGGAAGTGTCTGCCCACACCGAAGCTTATTGCTTGCATCTGCCTCCATGAACCCGCATGGCTGCTTTCCGCAATTAGCGTTTGCCCAGGTGAGTATCCTGGAAACTCAGGGACATCAAGGCTCCAGGTTCTGATCCCCACTGCAGCTGACAGGGATCTGAGCCCTGCCCACAGCCACACAAGCCAACTTGGGAACAGACCTTCCTCTGTGAGATGTCTCCAACCCCAGCCATTGTGAGAAGCCGTGAGCCAGAAACATGGAGCCCAGCCAGAGCCAGACGCCCAATTTCCAGAAGCTGTGAGATAACGTATGTTTATTTCTCTAAGCCACTAAGTGTGGGGCAGGCGATCTGTTACACAGCAGAGGATGGTGACTCCACGGGCCCACCATATCAAAGGATGGGCGGCACTGATCGATCTTCACTTTGGCTCCCCTTCCGCTCAGTCCCCAGGGTGCTCACCCGCTCCTGGAAACACCAGCCATCACTTTCTCCATCTCCTGTCTGAGCCCCCTCACTCTCCCCTCTGGCGTCCTGGCCATTTTCCCCACCGTTACACTGCTGAGTCTCCCCCGGCTCCATGCTGGGACCTCAGCTCTCCCGGATCTCCTGGCCCAGAACCGAACTCTTGATTTCTCGCTCCACAAAGCCTTATTTCCCAGCACCAGCCTCTCAAGAGGAGATACACATGCAGCACTTTTATTCTTCAGATGCCTGGTGGCAAAAGCCTTGGAGGCATCCCACACCTCCCTCCTTCTCTTAACCTCACACCCTCCATCATCAGCAAATCCCAGCAGCCCCACCTCCAACTCCTGAAGCCCACCCCTTCTCAGCCACCCCCCGCCAAGGTTCCACCTCTCTCCTCCTAACTGGGGCTTTGCTCCCATCTCTGTACCTTCAGTCTGTTCTCCGCACAGCGGCCAAAGTGAGCGCCTGAAAGCAGGTGAGGCCGTGCTGCTCCTCTGGGCAGAACGTGGGAGTGGCTTCTCATCTCTTCCAGGCCCTATGTGGCTGTAGGTGAACTCCATTCCCTCCTGCCAGCCTCGCCTTGGTTCATTTGCTCCAGTTGCTCTGGCTTCCTGTCTGTGAGAACATTCCTGCCCCAGAGCTTGGGGCTTGCTGTTTCTTTGTCTGAAATGCCTTTCTGCCTGGGTTTTGTTTTGTCTTGCACTGTCTGTTCCCTCCGGGTCTCCACTCATAATCCATCTCGAGCTGAATTGTGATTCCGCACATACATGTGGTGAGGTCCTAACCCCCAGCCTGACTGTACCAGGAGCTGGGGCTGTTAGGGAGGTTCAGCCAGGCGCTGAGAGCAGTGCCTAATCCGAAGGACAGGTTCTCCTTTTACACAAAGAAGAGGCCCTGGGATCCTTCTCCCTGGCTCTCTGCACATGTGTGAACAGAGCGCAGGCCCCGAGGGAATGCAGCAAGGGGGCTGCGGAACACAAGCCAGGCAGGGAGACCTCAGCGGCAACCATCTCTACTGATCACCTTGACCGTGGACGCTGAAGCTCCAGAATGGCAAGAGAAATAACTTTCTGTCGCCAAAGCCAGTAGTCTGTGACATTCCGCTGTGGCAGCCAAGCAGACTGGCGGGCCGTGTTAGAAGCGAGGCCTCATCGTCTGACCCCTGGTGTTGCCGGTGCCCGCTCCTTTGCCTGCCCGCCCCCCCCCCCCCGCCCCATCACTTTGGTCTCCTTTGCTTGCTTTTTGGTTCCCGTCCCCTAAACGGAGCACGCAGCCCTCTGTCTGGCACATCAGGGCTTCCAGTTAGTGGCGAAGTGCTCATGATTGCACTGGCGCAAAATTCCATGGGGCGGAGTTTGCTCAAACTGCACAGACAGCTGCCGGTGTTCAAACAGAAGAAAATGCTGTTAAGAAGTGAGCCCCAGGGGCTGATGCTGTGGTGCAGTGGGCTAAGCATCTGCCTGCAGTGCTGGCATCCCATATGAGCACCAGTTCAAGTCCTGGCTGCTCCTCTTCTAATCCCGCTCCCTGGGAAAGCAGTGGAAGATGGCCCAAGTACTTGGTCCCCTGCACCCATGTAGGATACCCGGAAGAAGCTCCTGGCTCCTGGCTTCTGATTGGCGCAGCTCTGGCTGTTGCAACCAATTGGGGAGTAAAACATTGGATGGAAGACTCTCTCTCTTTCTCTCTCTCTGCCTCTCCTCTCTCTCTGTGTAACTCTGACTTTCAAATAAATAAATAAATCTTAAAAAACAAAACAAAACAAAAAAACAATTCAAGAAACCTAGCTTTCTGTTCCACCAATCTATTCTCTCCTAAGATTCACTTATTTATTTTCAAAGAGTTATGGAGAGAAGGAAAGACACACAGAGCAAGAGACATTGATCTTCCTCCCCAGATAGCTGCAATGGCCAGTGCTTGGCCAAGCCAAAGCCAGGAGCTTCATCTGGGTGTCCTACATGGGTGCAGGGGCCCAAACATTTGAGCCATCTTCTTTTGCTTA